AAATTTTCGTGAAGCCGCTGAAGTGATCTTGCCGTACAGAACAGGATTCTGCTCCAAGATCAGAATTAAGTGAGCCCATATATGAGGTATTAGGTAACCGCGCGTGGATACGAATTTTATCATCGAGTGTTCATGACATCTTTTACTCCATCAAATAGATAATTAAATTCAAGCAGATAAATTCGTATCCATAGGCCGATATGTATCATCCTTTTCATTCAAAAGATATTGATTGAAAATTTGAATCAAATATTATTTTTTAAATAGGAGCATCGAATACAGAGATCTGCAGCACCGAAACTCAGCTCGCCGAAAATCAATTCAATTTCGGACAATGTAATTCAACAATTTCTCATTACAAGAACTATTTCCTTTAAAAAAGAATTGAATTCAGCTTCAGGTAAAAAAAAAAAAAATTTTAAAAACCTACAAGGAAAGTAAGACTGTCATGTTGATAACTTCTTTTCTAATGACGACTTTGAAACCTAGACATGTGATGATATAAATAGTACATTTACAGCGTGCGGTGGAGATGTCACGTTTTGGAAACTATAAAAATTCTGGTATTTCACCGACAACCATATTACCGTTATTATTACTATACATCGCGAATGTTAAGATATCAAAAGAAACGTAAGATTGTGTATTTTTTTTTTCAACCTCGAGTTTTGTTACAAACTTCGTCTGTTTTCGAGAGATATTTGCTGGTTTTGATATTGACGAGAGCTTTAATTATATACAGCACGTTATCTAGCTCTGTCACATGCTCATCACGCGCTTCTGCCGCACAATCATCACGCACAGTTAAACCTTTAACTCCCGTGATCTAATTGTTAATTCTCCCCTCTAGCTGCTACAGGTTTCATTTCAAAGTAGATACAGAAATTTGGTGTTAGTTCAAAGATAACAAATTCTACCTGATAAAACGTTGAGTATTCTGATTACTTGTTTGCTGGATAACGTATTAATATTAAAAGTTACAAGTTATATCACTTCTATGGAGTTTAAGGCTTAAGGAAATTGTATCGCGTGCAGACTATTAAACCACGAGTCAAATAAGAGAAACCATTAAAATATCTTCACATCTGATAACAATAAACCGGGAAAATTCGACTGAAATTAAATTTGATTATTGCCAGCCGCAAGAAAAATAAGATTGCAATCTTTCATTATAAATAACATGAGCTCTACAGCTCTAATCAGTTGCAGAATGAAAATTGATTTGTACCTGTTAAACTGTTATCCTCTGAATCCTTTTATTCCCCAGACGATGACATTTGTTAATCCTACATGCCTGAAAATATCAAGAACGATATTTTGCTTTACAATAATTTCGATGAAAAAATGATGGTAACATGTTCACGAGTTTGAAAGATATAACCTCATTTAATGCCCAGTTTCGTGATCAAAATTGCTTTTCTTCTTAAAGAAAGTTATTGTGCTTGTTT